CTGGCCTGCTGGGCAGGCGGCAATGAAATATCATGGTGCTGATCTGGCGGCTGAGGGGGATATTAAAATCTACTCTTCCCTTGCACTGGGACATCAATCTCCACAAAGAAACATCCAGAATCATTACTGCTCGACTGCTCCAAGAGCCCATTCGCTCGCAGATCGTGGGGGGCGGGGGGTTGGGGTTGACGCGGCGCTGAGTGGCTGCCTGTGGCCAATGTGCATCGCTACCGTCGCTGGTAACGGTGAAGGATGCTGTGCTTTAGGCCGCTCTTATATACAGTACCTTAGCCACTCAGGAAGAAAGAGGAGCTCTGTTGCTTTTAAAGCTGATTCAAATTGAAATTGCTCCGTTTCTTTTTGTCATGGGTGATGATGAAGCTGTGCTTTTAACTCTGTGTGTAAGGGGACTGTATTCATCACTGCTGTTTGCCAGTGGATTTTTCCCAGAGAAAGCAGCCTCACAGGGGGAGAGTCTCCCCCAGATAGCCTCTGGCTTGCCTGTTTCGTGGTCTCGGGCACCTAGATTAATGCAGCAATCTACCAGATTATGTTTATTTTGTGCCTTTGGAACTTTGGAGCTTCCACAGAAGGGGAGTGCACCGTGGAGAATTTCAATGGGGCTCCCGAGGGAGGAATCCATTGAGATGGAACCTCATTTAGCTGCAGTTGCTGAGAGACGGGGTTCAGCACCACGGACAGCGCTCCTGAAACTAGTGCAGGGATGGAACTTTCCAGCGCTGAGTGCCTCCCAAGCAGAGAGGTCTAGCACCCAGAACCTGCCAGTGTGACCCCTTAAACTCACCACGAGCTTTACCTAGAGATTAAGTAGGCCGTATGTCCTATTTCATTCCTAATCCAAGTCTTTATAATTTTTTTCTTATTTGCACATAAAAAGTGCATAATGCCTTTAACACGACCTCCTAAAGCAAATGGAAACTGTTTTTTGTAGTAACTGTAAATATTATTTTTCCAAGGCTTTAACGTGTGGCTTGCAGTATTGCACACAGAGGGGTAGGTCTGGGAAAGATACTGCCTGAGAAGGCAGTATCGGGAAACGCTCACATACGGCCATACTGTATACATGCTCATATACATGGGGTGAATGTCAGTGTCTGTAATCAGTTTGGTTATATCCTTGGGGCTTTTAAAAAGTATGCATCACCTCCTTATTCTGTGTGACTTGCATTGTCATTTTGCCATTTATCATGCTTAAGCTCCACTCTGCCTAAATCATTTTCTTTACATGATTGGAGCTCTGTGGGCTCCTTTGTGTTGCTGATGAGAGAGGCCAGTACTTGAGGCTCCTGGATGTGTTTGAACCTGACAGACCTCCAGCCCCTTTTAATCCACACGGCGGCCTGGGAGCACAGGTCCAAGCAGAGAAACCCAGCAGCCTGCCACAGCTTTCTTTATCTCTGGGGAGTGAAAGAGCTCTAATTGCTGTGCTTTATTAGTCCAGCTTTCTAGTTGCATGAAATACAATAAAGTATGTGCACGTAAATATAATTATGCAGTTCTCCCCTGAGTTACCATAAAAGCTGCAGCACAGTGCAGCTGTGTATCCAGAGCTCATACCACTCCCATCTCCATTCATACATGCTGCTACAGCATCCACTAGTGTTGTTCCTTTACTTGCTATTTAAACATGGATGCATTTTGAAGCCATTGACTGGAACAGTTGATCTGAGATGCTTCTACTGTGCTTCTTCCATCCAGGTATTTTTATGGATTAATAAAGAAATACATTGGTTGCCAGCAACCCCTCCTCCCCCTTTCTTCTTTCTTAGCAGTGTTAGCAAGACTCTCCTCAACATGATAATGTAGCACAATGAGAAGCTTGCTTTTGTATGGCATGGTTTCTCTGCATGATAGATAGGACTTTGAAAAACATCTTCACTGGATAATTCAGTGTAGCACAGCTGAACTCGGATGACCTGGAGCTGTGGTACGCGGTGAGTGATTTCAGACCTGGGGTGGAATATGATTAGGAATCTTTTTTTTTTTTTCTGGTGTTGATGGGATAAGAAGGCCTCTGCAATAAGCCTGTGTGAACGCTCAGCTTCCATTCTCCTTTTCGCTTGCAGAGCCTCAGGGCAGAGAGATCTCAGGTCTCGGTGAGGAACAGCGGCGAGAAATCAATTCTCGGTGGCCAGGGAATACAGACGAGCAAAAACCCTGTGCTTTGGAGTTGCATTAAATGTCAAGTCGAAGGACGCTGCACTAAATGTACAATATCTGTGGTCATTACTTCTGTCACAAAGGATGGTCAGAAGAAAATATTCCCCCAAAGAAATGTGATTAGACAGAATAAGTCAATATAATCACTGCACTTTTCTCTGAAATCCAGTTCTCTCTCTTAATTCCTGGTTTAGTTCATGGGTAATGATCGTCTGTACAAGGTAAATATAGAATTTACAAAAGCACAAGCACTGTTTGTTAATCTGGCACTGAGTGTGGGTTTGGTTCTGTTTTTTATGTATGAAAATTACTTTGAATTGTGAGGGGAAACCAGAGCACCCAGAGAAAACCTACATGGGCACATAGAACATGCAAGCTCCACACAGACAGCACCCCAGGAATGGAAGCCAGGCCCCAGCGCTGTGAGGCAGCAATGCTGACCACTGCTGCACAGTGCCATCCCTGGGCTGTCAACCACAAATCCAGCCAGCCCAGGAGGGTTTGTGGGTCTGTGGATATGTTCTGATTCTTGGGGAAAAGGGTGAAGTTAGTAGCTTATGAAGCTTTAGCACATAATTGGCTCAGCATATCCATGACGATTCCAAGAAGAAAAGGAGAGTGATACAGCTCTGAAGAGGGGAGCTGTGGATCCCTCTATCCTAGGCCAGATAGAGACAGCTCTGTAGTCGTGGTTGATAGCTTATTACTATCCCAGAATTTGTCACCTAATCATTTATAAACACCTCCAATTTCAGTGGTGTACATCTGATTAAGAAGACCTTGATCTGATATTGCCTCCTGGGTTCCATGTATGAGATAAGCTTAACTGTGTTGGAGCTGATACTACTGTATGATAAATTCAGGTAGTAAAAGCAGAGCATCAAGTCTAAGGTTGAAACAATAAATATTTGCCTGTTGTTAGTCCGGCCTCATTAGGCAACGGGTTAATGTCTTATGATGCAAACAAGCAGGGTTGAGTCATTGGAAAATATTTGTAGATATTGCACACAAAATATGAGCTTCAGTGTGTGTCCCTAATTTGTAGGTCTGCATTCTATTAGAGTACATTTAGTTAAGTTTCATATGGAACCAGGTTCCTTGTTTGTTCTGTTGCTGCTAGATGTGTAAGTGTAAATGTGCTTCTCTTCACTAAATCTTCTTCCCAGAGGTCAACAGGAGCAGTGTTTTGCCCAGCCTGCCTGGACTTTCACTTCTAGAAGTGGGTAGTGGCCATCGCAGGTCTACCTGGAGTAGGTGCTTTCACACTGCCAAAGTTTTGGCCCGGGGCTCCAGTGTGCACGTCGTGACCCAGGTCGCTGTACCCAGATGAAAGGGATTTTAAACAGCGTGAACTGTACGGCTGGCGTAGGCGGAGTTGTGCATAGTGTTGGGACAGACAGACTGAAAATCATCGTGACACACAGCAAGTCCCCCTCTCTCACGACTTTCTCTCTCAGAGCCCAGAGCGTATGGTTCTGCGCCTTGACGCAGCACTTAGTAACCCTTCCTCTGGCTCGTCACTAATGCAAGCTGCCAGTTGTAGATTTCTTGCTCTCGGCTACTGAAAGCTTCAGTGGCGCTTAGGCTACCCATGCATGCATTTCCCTTTTGTGGCTGTGGGCCGCTCAGATGTACAGACGGGCTTAATGAGAGCCAAGCCAATCCCCTAGCAGAAGAAAAAAATGGAAAAGGCAAATGGCAGGAACAGACCAAAGAGGCAGAGCACATTAGAGACAGCACAGCCTACACTAGGGGATCGTACCCCCGCATCCTCTTTCCCAGAAACAGGATTGGAGTGCAGTTACATCAGCTCATTACTGATGGGAGAGAGTGTTTTTAGGGAGAAACAAAGGGACTGGCGGCCCCGCCCCCCCCCAAGAGGATTAGAACACACGTTTGACTGGCCAGCGGAGAAACAAGAACTCTATAAAGCCAAGATTGATTGCTGAGGCACTGCTGCTGCAGGGAAGAAACCAGATCCTGGAGGCAGTTTAATGGATCACTCTCCAGCCTCGGTGCCCGTCTGCCCTACTCCAGCATGCCACCACTGTGCGTGAGGGCCGTGTCCGTCACAGGACAAATCCCAAGACCGGGCCCACTCCTGGCAGGTGACATTTTAATGTAGACAAATGCACAGTGGCACAAGCAGGAGGCAGAAACATGAGCTGTAAATAGAAGATGTGAAACAGTGTGGAAAGTACCCATGCGAAATAGACTAGGGGTGCTCATGTTGACGCATCATTTTCTAGAGGTCCTGGGATCAAGGAATGCAAGAGGCAGACAGATGTTAAAATATATTATATATATATTATATATATATAAAATATATATTCTTAAAAGGGCAAAACTATAATCATGTTCTGTTAAAATTGTACAAGACATCAATAAGATCTCGTGGAAATATTGTTAAAAAGATACTATTGCTCTGGAATCAGTTCAGCTAGGCTAGCAGTTGAGAACATTTATGGTCTTAAAGGAATGTCCATTACTGATAAACTCAATAAACTGAGTCTTTCCAGTCTTGGACTGGTGAAAGAGTTAACTACAAAACTGAGAACAGGAGGCACAAAAGGCAGTGGGAGTCTGGAGCAGTGATCAGCCATGTCTTTCCAGCAGTGGCTGGATGAGATCCTGAGAGCAATGAGCTGTTAACGATGAAATAATCTGGACCGACCCAATGGCCTCTCTTCATTTTGTACACTTCATATACTTAGAGAATTATTTCTAGTTTGCATTTCTGAAACACGTATATCCACCATGTTAGGATTTGTTGACCCCTAAAACTATCAAGTGGTGAATTTCCTTTATTCCTTCTGCAGGATCCTGGCCGTAGCCGGGACGGATTTCGATCTGCGCACACTGAGAGCTGTTCGAGTACTACGGCCACTGAAGCTGGTGTCAGGAATACCAAGTAAGTGCAGGTTCTGAAGGGTCAACCTTAGCATTTCCATTCTGTTTCACTGCTGTGCCACCACCATGGTCTTAAGTGTTCATCCATCAATTCAGGGTCACAAGGATGCCTGCCACTCTCGGCGACCGATAGACATAAGGCAGGGTGCACCGCGGGCGGGATGCACCTGTCTGATTGCCTCCCTGACTCTGCCCAGTGGCCATGTGTCTCGTCTGTGTGTCTCTCACTCCCTGTCTCCTGGCCAGGCCTGCAAGTGGTGCTGAAGTCCATAATGAAGGCCATGGTTCCCCTGCTGCAGATCGGCCTGCTGCTCTTCTTCGCCATTGTCATGTTCGCCATCATCGGCCTGGAGTTCTACATGGGCAGGTTCCACAAGACCTGTTTCAAGATAGAGACAGGTAGGAGTCTCCCTCACGACACCCCCGGGACAGGGGTCCTTATGGTGTTTCCAACCTGTTCCAGGTTACAGCATCTTGTCACAGCCAACACCTTAATTGTTCTGTTGTTCCTGCTGATTACCATGTGATCGGGTAGCTCGTTGTAGCAAATAAAATGGACTGGAAAGGGATGCACATCAAAAAGCCGTGATGTAAATGAAAAAAGAACCATTTTTTGTCCAGTGGTACAGTTCCAGTTGTCAGTTCTGAAATTTTCTATATCCACCAGTTGTTTAGGTAAGGTTAGCTGATGTTTAGGCTGCAAGATCTCTTTCCATCCTTTCTGGTCATCTCCTATTGAAGAACTATGTGAGAGATGTTTATCCACAGCGGCTGTAAATCTGTTTGGAGGGATCGAGGTTACAGATGGAATTTGTCTAAAATCTCTCACTTTCTTGTTAAAGTGATACCTAATTTTAATCAGCACCACAAGTATACTTTGCCTAGCCCTTACCTCTTTTAGCTTTGTACGTGTACATGCGGGAGTGCTAACATGTACTGTACATACTCAGTGCTTTTGAAAATCGTGACAAGCTGGTGTAGTAAAATGAGAACGGTGCTCGCGTCGGCTCTGCGGAGCATTGTTTCTAAGAGAAACTGAGTTGGCCGCATACGACCAATTAAAAAGTGGCAAAGCAATTAAAAAGGTGGATGTTTCTTTCTCTTCTGGCCCTTAAAGAAAAAAAAAAAGCATGTGCTGACAGCCGGTGCACACGGAGGCAGAGGAAGCCAGAGAAGTGTGGTTTTAACTAGCTGTGTGTGTCAGCCTCATCATGTCCGCTATCTGTCAGCATGCACATCTTCTGACGGCAGCCAAATACGAGCTTTTGCATTTTTAATGCTCCAAGTGCTGCTGCTTTTCTGGGGGCTTTGAACCGCCAAGCAGATTGACACTTGTGATACCGGGCCGGCCGGCATAAATGTGGTAGGGAGGAGGGCAGTGGGAGGGCAAGGCTCTGGGGAAGAACCTGGACTGGATTCAGGGGAACTGGAAGACCGAGCCATGGGAGGACTGCAGTGTGAGCTGTCCTCTGTTGTGCTGTAATGTAACAGAGTTCCCCCACCTCCACTTGATCTACTAGTCAGATTCTAGATAATGTTTTGGGTAAATGTGGTGTTCATACAGGCAGCAAAATGCCTTCATTGAATGTACTACACGTATAATGCTATAACAGCTTTCACAATAATTTCTGAGCATAACAAATGTGTTAGTAATCATTAATATAACATTTTTAGCACAATAGAGATCATACCATGTGTCAGGTTTAGGATTAAGTTTTAGATTGGAGCCTTTGTGATATATGTGTGGTCTTTTTGGGAAATTATTAAAAGTTAATGTGAATGTTGTGTAGGCGTTACACAGGTTAAACAAGACTGCTTTCACATAAATCATGACTATTCAAGATAAGAGACTCAGGGGGTCTCTTGCCTCCCTCTTTTCACACATGTCTTCTGCTTATACTGAATCATTCCAGGAGCCATGGTTGTAATGTCTCAGATGTTTCTATTACCTAGTTAAGTGGCCTGAAAACCTAAAGGTGCAGTGGACCTTTGTGCAGCCCTGATCTGAATCGGAGCCTCCTGCTGTTAAGATGGTTTATTTATATGATGTTGAACTGGGACGGCAAAGCGAGCTGAGTAGAGGGAAGAAGATGAGAGCTACAGTCGAACAGGATGAGGAAGACATCTCAAGACTGAGACTGATCACGGATACTGTTCATTGGGCTTTTAGAAAAACACACTTGGAAACAGGAATCGGCCACAACGTCATGTTTACAGTGCCAGGAAAACAAACAGACTAAATAAAACACCATATCTCCTCGAGCTCTATCTACATTTTTCTCAATCAATTAATGGGAATTTAAGCTGCTTACTAAAAGCCCTCTGAACTCAACAGAACCTCACAACGCAATGTCCACAGGCCAGCCACTTGCTTTCTTTCTTCTGTCTCCCCTCTGGTGCAACACATTACAGAGGTTCGCTTTCCGTTTTAGAAAAGGCCAGTGGACCTCAGAAACCGCCACTTCCTGGTTTCGAAGTGGTCATGTGACCTGTTGTCTTCCTCCAGTTGGTCAGGCGACAGAGGGCAGCAGGTCATTCCCCCATGACTTTCTGGGCAATGTAGTTCAGTCAAGATCTGCCATCTTGTCTGACACTACTGTATCCTTACAGCTGTTAGGGGGGCCTGTGGAAGGCAGCAAAGTGTCTTAAGTTGCCCGAAAAAAAAAATTGCTTAGAATGCAAGCACACTGAGCATTGACGGGTAATTAAGAGGAATGAGCTCCACAGCCTTCCTTCAGTCATCCTTCATTTTTCTTCATCTCTAAACTGTTGATACAGCAGTTTCCCCCAAGTCTTGTCATCTGCGATTTTGTTTCGTAAAGCAAAACAGGTTTGCGTTCTCCATTGGTGTTGCCTCTGAATCTGTCTGGAGTGAGTACATGTGACGGTGGAATATTGGCCAGCACCCTGAGATAAATGTAAAATAATGTTCTTTATAATCTGGGTACACCCTGCTTCAATCTAGAGAACCTGTGAAGATGTTAAATTTTTTTGTTACTACAGTATTTCCTTCCCAATATGGAATGGCCAATTATTATTTTGGATCATCTCCCAGTTTGAAATGACCCATTGTTAATTGGCAAGCTCGCCGTTTTCCAGAAGGCCTCAGAGCAGGCTGTGGTGTGCCTGGCCGGGGGGGGTGTGGGCTAGCTAGCGACGTGCCCCACACTGGCCGTGCTTTCTACCTGAGCTGTGTTGGGCTTTTCAGTTGATGTTCACCTTTGCCTCTCAGTCTGCAGTTTTTATTAATTTTAAGACTGATTTTCGTCATGCAGAATTCAGTTTGGGAGCTGCTAATCCAACCCGGCTACTGTATATAACCCAAGCAGTGCTACTGTGCTGTACAGTACCTATATCCTTCAAAAGCTGGGATCCTTTTGTGTAGCATCTTCCACTGTCTGTGCCTCTGGCCACGGGTCTACACATGATGCATTCTGCTGTTTCTGTAAGGGCATGTTGCTGAGCGAGGGGATAATCCACTTTATTATTGCAATTGCATTTCTCACATTTTGTATTTCTTACTGTATGCATTCTGTCATTCAGTCTGATTGAAATTCCTAGATTGGATGCTGTTCCAATTGACTCTTCTCACAAAAATCGGATTCTGAGAAGGGTTATCTGGGACAGAGACAGGGAAGCACCATGAGGATGTAAAGGATGAGCTGCACATAATGAACATTTGAGCACATGGATGACCAGTTAGGCGGTTTTTAGTCGCGGTGGATCAGAGCATCCTCCAGAAATAAAGGCTGTAAACATTATTGGAAAATAGCACAATTAAATTAAATAAATGACTTCCAATTACTTGTGAGTTACAGGAAGACCTATTTAAAAAAATAGACGAACAGTGAGAACATGTGAATGGGGTTTAGTTAAACATTGTTATAGCTTCAAATTGTAAGCTGGGGAAAACGGTTATTGCCTAACTAATCTCATAAATCATCAAGTTCTAATGAGCAGATCCCCTTCAGGTATTAATTACTGCAAGATAGTGAGTGCAATAGGGACAGACCCCCATTAACAGTATTCAGATGCAGACCGTTATCTGACACTGAGAATGTATGGAAGATTGCTATCAAGGCAGCAGTGCTGATGGTAATTGGAGGCCGTTGTTGGCTTCAAATCTTCATTAATTAACATCAGGGTCTCTAGAAGCATTACGATTTAATTCTCACCTCATTGTTCAAGAGCACTACTGCCAGAGTGCTATAATTTGAGCAGTAGATGGCAGAACATGGGAAGCTGTTTTTAGATCAAGCATTTAAGTACAAACACAAAGCTGAAAGCCTGTATGTTAACATGAGTTTTTCTAGGTTGAGCTATGAGAAAGTCTGGAAGGGTTTTATTTGATGTGCTGCAGGGGTGAACAGACGTCGGCCCAGGCTGGTGCTTCCAATGTGTCATCGCTGAGGCCAGGAGCTTTCAGTTGGATTTCACTAAAGTGAAAGTGCCCTCTGTGTGGAGCAACCTTCCATGTCTTCCATGCTCTTCCCGTCTTAAATTAAGAGCTCAGCTTGCAGCTGGAAAGTCTAAGAGAACCGAGGAGCAGTTTGGGCTGTATGAATGTGAACACTGGGTGTGAAGTAGGATCTTCAGATCGATGGGCAAGTTTATGAAATTTTGTCAAAGATAAAATTATTCTCCCCCCTGTGGACATTCTCAAGTTAAGTTGAAAGAACAAATACAGATACTTTTATATCCCTCCGTTTTTCTTCCTTCTGTTCTACCTGGAGGACTTTGATTTTGTTTTACACACTACACGCTTTATTCCGCACACATTGGCCATGCAGGAGGGTGGACATGCTTGGGTTTGGTGGCCGCTGTCCTTTCAGAGACGGGTGCAGTGGCCCTGGTTTGCTCTGGGGGCCGATGTCCGGCCCCCAGAGTGAGCTGAGCGGGCCCTGCCCGGCGGCAGGAGTCCGGAACGAGCGCGTTGAGCTAAACTGGGTCCTGCTCTCTTTCGCAGGCGAGATCGCCGCAGATTTCCCCTGCGGTACGGAGCCCCCGGCCCGGCTCTGCCCCAATGAGACGGAGTGCCGGGAGTACTGGATCGGGCCCAACTTCGGCATCACCAATTTCGACAACATCCTCTTCGCGGTTCTCACCGTCTTCCAGTGCATCACGATGGAGGGCTGGACCGAGATCCTGTATAATGTGAGTCTCTGGCAATGTTCGGTTCTGACTCGCTTGCTGGCTGGCAGATCCTCTTCTCCCCCCACGTGTGTGCGGGAAAAGGAGTGCTTTAACTGGCGGAATCTGAAGGTGGGGGTGCGCGCACACAGCTGCAGGTCGGACACCTGCTGCACAAAGAGCTTAGCGCGAGGAGCGGCGCCACTCATTTTAGCTCATGTGATTTGGTTCACGGTGCAAAACAGGTTTTTTGGTTTACCGGTGTGGAAATGCCGTAACAGGTGTAATGTCAACCATTTAATGTCAGAAAAGGTTTCTTCAGTAAAAAGAGTCTTTTCCCCAGTGTTTCCTGTGGAGCAGAGAGCTGGTAAGAATGTCGGGGAATTGCTGTTTGTGGTTAAGAAACAATTTGGTTTTTTTTTTTCAGTTTTGGGCAAAAAGGTTTTCTCCCTAAATTGGTGCTGGAAGAGTTGTCTCAAACACCTCGGGGGGGGGGGGGGTTTATTGGGACTTCATTGAAACTCCTATTTCTTGACCTGCACCCGTGTTCCTGTGACTTGTTCCTCTTCATGGAGTGCAGAGTGAGACTGCAGGAGTGGACGTGTCCAGGCATGAGGGATGTCCAAACATATGAGGTCTGTGCCACACAGCTACTGTATCTACTGCAGCAGTTACTTTCTCCATAGCCTGTAGGTTTGTAAGACACGACCTGCCTCTTCTACATTCATACTGTCTTCTAGAACATTTTGAAGCCATTTTAGTTTGGTTTAACCAGAGCTTTAGATGAAATTCAAGTAAGTCTGATTTATCTGGTTTGTAATGTGTTGTATATGTTTTGTACTTTTTTTGAATGGGTATTACGTTCGCACTTTTTCCAATCAGTACGCACGTCCCCCGCTTGAAGAGTAATTTGAAATATCCTGGTGAGCCTTGTATGAATCATTTCTCACGTTTCTTCGAGCACAAGGTGGTAAAAATGGCTTGGTTCTCATGAAGACAGATATTTCAGCTTTTTTTTTTTGCCAGACTTCTGTTTCTTCTCTTGCTGATGGCTCATTATTCTACATGTCCGAATCCTGGGGAAACACTTCCCATAGTCTCAGAGAAGAACATGTGAGAGAAAAGTGATAATCAAGAGGAGGCCATCAGGCCCATCTTGCTCATTTGATTGCTGTTAGCTGATTGATCGAAGGATCTTGTCCAGCCATTATTTAAAAGATCTTGGGAAATCTCCTTCCACGACATTTCTGGTCAGCATTTCCTGGAATCTTTGTTCCAGATTCCCACATGCCTTTGTGTAAAGAAGTGCTTAATTTATTCAGCCTTAATTTAGGGATGCCCACACTGCAGACCTGTTGTTCACCTGCCACTTGTACTGCTCTTTGAAACCTTAGATCAGCTACCGCTGCTACAGAGCACAGATCTGACTTCCCAGCCACTTCCAAAAGATCTGCGGTGAAAGTGCACTGCAGTGCAGCGAAACAGATCCTTTGGTTTGTCATGCCACATGAAAAATATTGGTATAGCTCATCATGGTGTCTGAATCGCAGTACTCTGCCTGGATCCACTGCCAACAGTGTAGGGGAACAGCATATGCTCGCCCGGCAGAGCCAGCTGCTGCTTTCTGCACAGCTCCTCACACTTCCCGTTTCTGGAGTTGAGAGCCACTCGGCCGGTACCGTACTTTAGGGTGGCGGGGTGATTCAGGTCCGAAATGGTCAAATGAGCTCCTCTGTCACCCATCTCTTTGTCTTTTTTCTTCAGCCCTTGGAGTTTTTGTTTGGAACCATGCTTGTGCTTCGTCTGAAATAGGAAAGATGGAAATCACAGGGCATGACGGATCTTTGGAAAGAAGCATTATATTTGTGTGGAACTCCATTTATAGCTCATTTTTTCTGCTTTTGGTTGGATTCTCCACGCAGTCAGATTTGGAGAGCTGAGCAGCACTTCTTCTTCTTGGTCTGGCTGATCAGCAGGATCCAATTCCTATAGAACTGTAGAATGTCCCAAAGACATTTAAAAATGTCGCCCCGAAATTAATTTTTGATTGTTTTAATGATGCTCCCCATGTCTTGTGTCTTCCTTCAAGCCCACACATAGAAACCTTGATAAGTGCTGCAGTTGGATTAATCTGCTTCTCCTCGCCCTCTAGGTGCTGCTTCTTTAAAGGACACTAAAACAACTACAGACACACCAGCCCCCTGGCAACAGGACTGGACAGCCTCCATTAAAGTGCAGTTAAGCACAGTAAAGGCTGTGAAGGCACAGTAAGAGTGACAAACCTGAGAAAATACCCTGGAAACTTCAGACTTTCAGAAGGGTAGAAATCAAACCCCTCCCTTGAAGGCAGCCTCCTGTCCCTGGGCACAGGCCATCCTATATGTTGTCTGCGCACAATGGGCTATTGTGGCCTTACGTACGTTACATATGTATAGATTTTTTTTGTTATCATTGTTCTCCTGATCCCCCCCTCATGTTCTGCAAGTTAGTGCAGAAGCTCTTTCATACTGACAGGAGCTCCTTTCTCTCTGGGCAACGGTTCTTCACGTTTCAGTGGCTCAGTTCAATGGCTGTATGTCGGGGAAGAAAAAGTAAAGAGCCTTGATTTGTATTCTTTAAATGCATCTAACATTGTTACTGTCTTGATGTAATAAGCGCCAGCTTACAGCAGGAGCGTTTTGGCTTGAGGGACAGATCGTCAAAGAGGGCGTCACTACCAGCGGACAGGAAGTTGACAAGGGGGTGGGTGTGGGGTGAGGGAGGGATGGGCACGAGCTGGGCCGGGCTGTGAAGGAGTTCTCTCTAGCGGGCCAGAGCAGTCTTGGATGTTACAGACCCGGTCTGATCGAAGCCTCCCTCTCTGGGCTGGGCTGTGAAGGGCTGCCACTGCCTCCGTCATAGACTTGCAAGTCCTGTCTGTGGTGATTCACACATCGGGGCAGTTCTTGCTGATGCCGAAATCTTTCCTTTCCCTGCCATGTGTCCCAAGACAAATATTTCATACCCCAGTAACCTATGTATGTTTTCTCCCGTAGTTCAATTTTTTATTCTTTAAATGGTTAAAAAAAATCTTAGTGAAAAAAAAAGCTTAAAAAATTGGCAAATATCCTTGTAGCAAAGAGTGAAGTCAGAAAAGAAACATTTTGGCTTCTCTGCATTCAGAGCCACGCATTTGCTGATGAAAATCAGTGCAGGACGTACGTAGAGGTGATTTGCTTTATCTTACAGGTTTTTCTGTGTCTGCCGTGACTCGGTGACAGGAATGTGATTTTTTTGCGATAGTGCTGGTCCAGCCACAGCTTAAATAAAGGCTTCTGGATAAAAAAAAAAATTGCTGTTCATCTCACGGGGATGTATTATCATCGTGATATAAAAACCAATAATGATCATCCTCGTCAGCCTCGACACGTCTTTCAGGACTGTGTCATCTTAAACCGCTGAGTTTTTAATCAACCGGATGGGGTGCAGCTGGAGCTGAACTGAGTACAGAACACCTAAGATGTGTGTGCGCAGTGGAAATGAGGCAGAGCTGTGATGGCACTGCTGGCCGTTATAAAAAAAGGGCTTTGCAATGCAGAACCACCTCCTTTCCCAACATCACCTCCTCTCGGATTTCTGTTGCGTCTTGAGTTAACCTCTTTCCCGCTGGGCGCTCAGGAGCAGGGGCGGGGCTGCAGTGCACTGTGGCTTGCTCTGAGTCATGCTGGGGGGGAAAAAGGGAGCAGTTGAAGAGCTGCTGGCAGCGTGGCTCCGCTCCTTAGAGCCAACTGGAAAAGGCCAGTCCTCCGGCACTGCCAAGGGGATTGCATCGGAAGCCCACGGCTCACCCCCACCCACCCTGCAAAATAGCTGCCGATCGGGAGCCGTCACGTGCCCACTCTCTCTGGAAATATACTGGGACAGCTTCCAGCTCAGCCATTGGAATCCACTCTGCTAACGAGTGGCTTGTGGTGCACTTAGCAGCATACAACTGCTGTCTGAGAGGGGCGGGGGCCTGCTCCACTTGAGGAGAGCGAGGGAAGAAAAACAGTTATAATGCCTGTCGCCCGTGTCTCTCTTGGCACAACAGCTGATGCAGGTAGAAAAAAAAACCTATTTTGGTTTTAGCATGCAGCTTTTTTTCCACCTTCTAAGTATCCCTACCCCCTTCACTATGTAAAATAGATCAGTATCCCTTACTTCCTCGGTGTCCCTAGAATGATCAATTTGTCTCGTGGTTTTTACAACGGTTTCACTGCTTTAATGGCTTCTGCCCTCTGTTTTCAAGTCAAAGACTGTGTAACACTGTGTGTCTTACTGTGCTTGGTTTTCGATTTGAACCAAGGATATTGTGCCCAGTGGAACACAGTATGCAGGCACGGTTGGGGTTGTCTTAGTCATATGGTATCTTGAGATGTATGCATGGAGAGATTACCCTGTTTCAGCGCTGTGACAGGCAATGTGTGTCAGTCCTGAGGATATGGACCAATTCTAGGCACTATAACTGAGCCTACTGTGGGTGAGGGGTAGAGCTGAGAGATCATAGCAGCTACTCTTCTTTGGGTGGGAGCACTGAGTGTAAATGATAGAATCACACCCTGCTGACTTCATAGCAGGGCCGAAATTTAGGGGCAGAAGGAGGAGGGCGTAAAACAAAAATTATTTTCCGTTTATTGGTTTTTGTCAGCGCTTCTGCGAAGTGCCTTTTACCCCCTGGAGTGTTCTGAATTCATACCTGTCATGTTTGTTGAGTTTGGAGGAGGGGGTAGGGGAGCCCCTGGGGGCGCTGATGGATTGCTGGTCTCAGCTGTCCCGGCTGTTCACCCAGTGAAGTTCCGGGCCTTAACTAATTTATCGCCGGCTGAGGTAATCCAGGTCCCTGATTGCAAGGGCAGTGTGTGTGGTGGAGGGGTGGGGGAGGGGTTGTTAAAGTACAGATCTGAATAAACCAGGCTTCGTTCATTACAATCATAAATATTTATGGCATAAGCCCAGCTTTGTTTTTTTTTTCCCATTAAGAAAGCGAGAAAAAAAAGATGTTTGTT